GACTTCATCCGTTTGGTTCTTATTGTTGTCATGAGAAATATGTTGATCTGTTTGGTTCTTATTGTCGTCATCAGAAACAACTTGATTCGTTTGGTTCTTATTGTCGTCGTGAAGAATGACTTCATCCGTTTGGTTCTTATTGTCGTCATGAGAAATATGTTGATCTGTTTGGTTCCTATTGTCGTCATCAGAAACAACTTGATCTGTTTGGTTCATGTTGTCGTCATCAGAAACAACTTGATCTGTTTGGTTTCTATTGTCGTCATCAGAAACAACTTGATCTGTTTGGTTCTTATTGTCGTCATGAGAAACAACTTCGACTGTTTGGTTCTTAGTTTCATCGTCGGAAACGATTTGTTCTGTGTTTCTGATACTTTCATTCTGTAAGATCGCTTTTCTGGTGTTTGTGATATTTTCATTATCAGAAACAACCTTCGAGAGGTTTAATGAAACAGAAACTGTTGTTTTGATTCCAATGCTTGTAATATTCCCCTCTGATGAATCTGAGGTGGAACCATCAAGAAAAAAACTGTAGTTTTCAGTCCGCACTGGTTCACTATTACTTAAAGTGCTCGTTAAAGTATCAAGTCGATGATTTGTTCTGTTTTTTGTGTGACTTGTTGACAGATCGTTGTCAACATTCCCTATCCTTGTAGAGTTCTCGGTACCATCCACACTTTCAGTCCAAATTATAACCGAATCAAAGTTCTCCAGTTTGTCCATGTTGTTATCTAAAGAAGGGTTTTCCAAGTCAAGCTGATCGGGTGACATCCACTGACGAGGTTCTTCATTACTGACTCCAGTGAGGTTCCTCTTTTGTGAGTGTTTTATCATTGTGTCTTCTGTTCGTTGACTAATGTAGGTATCTCTTTTGGATTTGGTTTGTTTTGAAACGTATTTTTGACGTCTCGAAGACGATTCTTCAGACATGAAAATCTCGGTGAAAAATTCTATATCTACATCTTCACGAGAAGTGAATAAATTAGGTGAAAATGGATTATCATTATATCCCAAGGTCCCAGTATTGAAACCACCACTCTCATCTGTTTCTCCTGATGAGGCTGAACGAGAAAAGTTTTTGCTATATACGTTTAAAGTGTCCAGTGTATTTCTGCTAATGCTATGACCAGATAAAGTTATCTCTTGGTTCCCATCTTGTTTCCTTCTGGTTCTCTCCTTGGGTTGAGATAAACTTTCTTCGGCTATTCTAAAACTTATTTTATTTACTTCAACCTTTGGGTTCTTGTTTCCCATATATTTTAGGTCAGTAACGTCTGAAGCATGTTGTGAGTGCCGCTGGGCTTGCTTACCAATTATTAAACTGTCATCATTCTTTTGGTGCAATCTTGTATCATAAAGTAGTTGTGAGCTGTTGGTGTCCAGTCTTGTTCTTAAGTGGTTGTTCATGTCTAACATATAATCACTGGGGAGAAAATAGTTCTCTTGGGCGTCTTGCTTGCTAAAGTTACTTGTATCATCGTTAAGAGAAACGGTTTCTGTTGGGAATGTTCTCAGCAATCCAGTGTAGCCTGCAGATCCATTGTTTGAGTGTTCTGACAAGAATCTTGATAGAATTCTCGAAATTCCCAGCTTCTCTTCGTGGGAAGGCAAAGAACTTGTTTCTGTTACAAAAGACAAATGTTAGCATTAAGAACTTGATAATATTTCATTTCATACATGAAAGTTACAAAACTTGTTAATACAATACTAACACTAAGAATTTTTAATAAAGATAGTTAGAGTCTTTAGTGAAATGATCAAAAATTATTAGTCGATAGCTAACCTTCTCATTTAGGTTCTTAATCTCATTTATCACTCATTCATTAATGTACGTTTACGGTTTGTCAACATACAGTTATACATCTCTGTTACTGTGCTCCCTTCAATCCAGGGTTCTAAGGTATCAACATACAGTTATACATTTCTGTTACTGTCCTCCCTTCAATCCAGAGTTTTAAGGTATCAACATACAGTTAGCTATCTTTTTTACTGTCCTCCCTACAATCCAGAGTTTTAAGGCATCAACACACAGTTATTTATCTTTTTTACTGTCCTCCCTTCAATCCAGAGTTTTAAGGTATCAACACACAGTTATCTATCTCTGTTACTGTCCTCCCTACAATCTAGTGTTTTAAGGTATCAACACACAGTTATCTATCTTTTTTTTCTGTCCTCCCTTCAATCCAGAGTTTTAAGGTATCAACACACAGTTATCTATCTTTTTTTATTGTCCTCCCTTCAATCCATAGTTTTAGAGTACAACACACAGTTAGCTATCTTTTTTTACTGTCCTTACTTCAATCCAGAGTTTTAAGGTATCAACACATAGTTATCTATCTTTTTTACTGTCCTCCCTTCAATCCAGAGTTTTAAGGTATCAACACACAGTTATCTATCTTTTTTACTGTCCTCCCTTTAATCCAGAGTTTCAAATTGACAACATACAGTTATCTGTTTTTGTTACTGTCCTTCCTTCAATCCAGAGTTCCATTCATCGTGTGTTTGTCTTGTTAGTCTCCATATTAGTTATTATGTGAAACGCATTAGTTATGTGCGTGTTTGAACAATGTGGAATGATGAGTCAGTTGTGTTCTTTGTTGCTACGTTTTCTGTGCCAGTTGTTGTATGTTTTGCTATATGGAAAGGGTTAGTGTGTGTTGTGTTTGTATATGGAATTAGTCAGTTGCTCTGTATGTGTCTATTATTATGTGAGACGCGTTAGTTGTTGTTGTGTGTGTGTGTTTCTGTGTGAAATGAATCAGTTACATATATATGAATATCGTGGAACGAGTCAGTTGTTGTGTGATTTTTGTTGCCATTTTGATGTAAAATTAATTAATTAGAAAGAAATAAGTGAAGTCCACTCTAGTTGAAAACACGAGGCAGGTAGGCATACGTGAAATCCACTCTAGTTGAAAACACGAGGCAGGTAGGCATACGTGAAATCCACTCTAGTTGAAAACACGAGGCAGGTAGGCATACGTGAAGTCCACTCTAGTTGAAAACACGAGGCAGGTAGGCATACGTGAAATCCACTCTAGTCGAAAATACGAGGCAGGTAGGCATACGTGAAATCCACTCTAGTTGAGTCAGGTTGAAGGGAAGGAGTAGAAGATAAGTCGAGAACTGACAAAGTATCGAAACAAACGGGCTTGGATCAATAGATCCTAATGTCATGGCTTGGATCAATAGATCCTAATGTCATGGCTTGGATCAATAGATCCAAATGTCATTGCTTGGATCAATAGATCCTAATGTCATGGCTTGGATCAATAGATCCTAATGTCATGGCTTGGATCAATAGATCCAAATGTCATTGCTTGGATCAATAGATCCTAATGTCATGGCTTGGATCAATATATCCAAATGTCATGGCTTGGATCAATAGATCCTAATGCCATGGCTTGGATTAATACATCCTAATGTCATGGCTTGGATCAATAGATAATAATGTCATGGCTTGGATCAATACATCCTAATGTCATGGCTTGGATCAATACATCCTAATGCCATGGCTGGGATCTGTAGATCCAATGCCTATGAATTATGGTGTGTGTGTGTATGGGGGGGGGGGACGGGAATACCCCGAGAAAACCCACTTTCACTAGTCGAGACCGAATGAAGCCCGGCTAATACCTGAGTGAATGGCTAGTGGTAAAAGAACCTGAAAAGAGACTTAAAAAACGTTTTACAATTATATATAAAATGTAACAGGTTTAAGTTTAAAGATCACGGTGGAGGGTTGGTACTGTCATGTATCAGGTTAAATGGGGATAAATATTTGCACCAAGATTTGGGGGGTGGCAGGGATTTTATGAAAATCGGATGTTAAGGGGTTTCGGCTAATGGATTTTTTTGTATTGCATAGTTTTGTGATTTAACATGGAATGAATCAGTTATGTTTGTGTGAATAATGTAAAATGAGCCGTTGTCGTTTGAAGGATAGGTCAGTTGAGTGTCTGTGTGCAGAACATATGTGTGCCTGCTTGTCTATTGTCAATGTATATATTCTGATTTTTTATGTCTTCCGGTAAGATCTGGTAGCAACCGTTCCCTAACACAAGACTCTTCGTGCATAAAAAGATAATATACGACAGATTTCCCCAGCTACTTTTAAATGGCCGGGCTTACTGATGCTATGATTTCCGGCTTTTTCAAGTTTCACGACAAAGAATACCGGATATTACCTCAATGAGGCCCATTTGGATGTCGACAAAGGTGTGTCGTTAGCTACATTAACCGAGAAGTGACTTGAGGAATTTCTGTCTGAATGGTTTAATCATCATTAGTTCTTTCATACATTCCTTATCAAGAAAAACGAGACGTTTGTTTTCTAACAGAAACGCTTTCAATAACTTGTTTCTTAGTTGACCTGTATTACAGCCAACTAAATCTTATTACGTAATCAACAAAGTTTCCGTGTTTAAAAAGAAATTCATGTTATATGTTCCTTTCTTTCCCTCTTCTCTCTCTCTTTTTACTCTATTGCATTATCATTTCCTGTCAAAGGTTCTTCTTAATGACACTATCTTTTTGACCAAAGTGCTGGGCGCTCCGCACGGGCGATTTTCTTGACTAAAAGTCTGCATCTTATAAAAACAACAACAACAACAAAAACCAGTAAAACTTCCCGTCCCACCAAACATGCTCGCCCTTTCAGCCATGGGGACGTTTTAAGTGACAGTCAATCCCACTGTTCGTTAGTAAAAGAGAAAAGAGTAGTCCAAGAATTGGCGGTGGGTGATGATGACTAGCTGCTTTTTCTGAATTCTTCTACTGTTAAATGAGGGACGGCAAGCGCAGATAGCCC